AAAAAAAAAATATTAAAAACAGAACTGCTATATGATCTAGCAATCCCACTTCTGGGTATATATCAAAAAGAATTGAAAACAGGGGCTTAAGCAGATATATGCACATATATGTTCATAGCAGCATTATTCACACATTGGTGGTTCAGCGGTAGAATTCCCACCTGCCATAGCAGCATTATTCACAACAGCTAAGCCGTGGAAGTAACCCAAATACTCATCAACAGATGAATAAACAAAATGTGGTATATAGATACAATGGAATATTCTTCAGCTTTAAAAAGGAAGGCTTCTACATGCTACAACATGAATGAATTTTGAAGACATTATTTTTTTTAAATATTTTATTTATTTATTTATCAGAGAGAGAGAGAGAAAGCACAAGCAGGGGGAGCAGCAGAGGAAGAGGGAGAAGCAGGCTCTCCGCGGAGCAGGGAGCCCGATGTGGGACTCAATCCCGGGACCCTGGGATCATGACCCAAGCCGAAGGCAGACGCTTAACCAACTAAGCCACCCAGGCATCCCTGAAGACATTATGTTAAGTGAAATAAACAATCACAAAAAGGTAAGTACTATATGATTCCATTTCTATGAATTTGACTACTTGAGATACTTTATATAAACAAAGTAGAATGGTAGTTACCAGGGGTGGGGTGGGTGGGGTGGGGAGGAGGAGGAGTTGTTTAATGGTTATAGAGTTCCAGTTTTGCAAGATGAAAAAGTTTTGAGGATCTCTTTCACAACAATGTGATTATATATATATTTTTAAAGGTTTATTTATTTGAAAGAGACAAAGAGCTCACATGAGCAAGTGGGAGAGGAAGAGAGAGAATCTTAAGTAGGCTCCACACTCAGCACAAAACCAACGTGCGAGGCTCGATCTCACAATCTCACGATCTCATGACCTGAGCTGAAATCAAGAGTCAGATGCTTAAGCAACTGAGCCACCCAGGTGCCCCTGCGATTATATTTAACACTACTGAGCTGTATACTTAGAAGTGATTAAGATGGTAAATTTTGTGTTTTTTACCACAATAAAAAAATACATAAAAAGAAGAAAAATCTGAGTAGTCCTGGATTTTACTTTGTCTCACATTAATTCACTATTACTACTACTTCAGTGAAAACAATTAGAGCTTAAAAACATAATTGGGCAAAGTACTTGAATGGTTTCCTATTTTTCCAAAGAAGATATACAAAAGGCCAACAGGTAAATGAAGAGATGCTTAACATGATTAGTGATTAGGGAAATGCAAATCAAAATCACAATGAGGTACCACTTCACACCCACTAGGATGGATGTAATAAAAAATAGAAAATAACAAAAGAGAAAGTATTGGCTAGGATGTGGAGAAATTGAAACACTCATATATTGCTGGTGGGAATGTAAAATGGCTCAGCAGCTGTGAAAACAGTTTGGCCGTTCTTCCAGGAGTTAAACACAGAATATGACCCAGTGATTCCATTTTTAGGTATATACCCCAAAGAATTAACCAGGTACTCAAATGTACCAGCGCTACCCACCAGTTAAAAGTTGGAAATGGCCCAAATGTCCATCAATGGATGAATGAATGGATAAACAAATTATATTCTATACATATAGTGGAATATCATTCAATCATAAAAAGGAATGAAGTATTGATAAATGCTACAATGTGGATGAACTTCAAAAACATGAGAAGCCAGACATGAAGGTCACATATTGTATAATTCCATTACAGAAGATGTAAATCCATAGAGACAGAACTCAGACTGTCGTTGCCATTGGGTGCAGGAAAAGGGGAATGGGGAGCAACTGTTTAATGGGGACTTGATTTCCTTTTGGAACTAGATAGAGGTGGTGGATGCACAACATTGTCAATGTACTAAATGCCAATGACTTGTTTACTTAAAAATGATTAATTTTGTTATATCAATTTCACCTCGTTACCAAAAAATTCCACAGGTTTTAAATGTATCATTTCACCAACATTCTATACATTAATACTAGATGATCAAACAGGATTTAGTAGACTATTTAAATTTTGAATGTGAAACAGGCCTAAACTCAAATCTTTGTGATACTGAAGCGGAAGATGGGATGTAATCATCTTGGAAAGTAAATTGTTGTTTACATGAAATGCAGGAGTTTTTATTTCTTGAAAAAAAATACTGAGTAAATAAGAGACAATAAACGTTCCTTCCTTCAGGATACTGATTGAGTGTGGGCTTCAGAGTTAGACCACCTGGGTTCCCATTCTTGTCTTCCCAGGAATGTTCTAGAGGACTATCAAATGCACTTTCTCATGTCTTGTGTACTATTAAGAGTTGCATCACTGCGGATTCAAGATTTACTATAATACATTCACTTATTCTCCCTCTACTGGCTGGTTCCATACTACCACACTGTAATAGACCAATACCTATCAGAGCTGGGGTTGTGATAATTTAACAAACATTTACTGAGTGCTTATTTTTTATGTGCCATGCACTTTGCTGTGTCCTAAGTGCTCCATAGCGAAGTTTAGACAGGATTTATCATTTATTTATCATTTAGAACAGGGCATAGACCATAAACATACCATTTACGTATCATTAAGTATGAGAAAGGAAAACAGTGCTCTACCAGAGATAAAAGGTGGGATACTATTTTATTTTAGGTAGCGTGGACAGCAAAGGATTTTTCTTGGGACATCTAATCTGAACGACCTACATGATATTAACAAATGACAACAGGCGTATTTGTAGGAAGTTTGAGGTCAGGGACAGGAGATTGGAAAGTAATTTAACTGCTATGGAAAATGGTGCATTTCCAGCAAGAGCGATATAATTTTGCGTTGTAAAAAGATCCAGAGGCAAGACAGAAGCCAGGGAGACCATTTAGGACGCACCGATGGTGGCCCGGACTTAGGGTAATTGTGGTTATTGTCCTGCGCGAAAGGGAAGGTGCTATTCTGTGACAGAACGACGATGACGGCAGAGCAGTTAAGAGGATAGGCAGAAAAATCACGGCTTTCAGGGCGTCCTGCTGCGAACAGCCGGAACGAGAGCAGGGCAAGTTTCTGAAATAAAAAGAACTAAAAAGAACTAAAAATCTTCAGACGGTGTATAAGGTACAGGAGAGGGCAAGAGAACTGAACTCCGGTCCTACCCTTCTATGGTACCAGCAAAGGCAGAGTGATCGGGACCAAGCTGGGACTCCACCCTGGCTCTGGACAGTGCGAGACCGATCAACCTGCGGAGAGTCTAACCTTCAGAATCAAGCTTGGGCTGCTTAGCCCGTTACTCACTGCCGGCGGAGCCGACCTCCCTATGCTAATTAGCCCCGGCTCCGGAAGTACCGCCCACCGGCGCTCACTTCCGCTATCCCAGCCGTCCGCTTATCTCGCGAGAACTAGAAGTGCCTATGAGACGTGGGCTAAGCGGAAGTCGGTCCTCTTTTTCGTGGCGCCTCGGAGGCGGTAGGCTGCTTCAGGATGAAGGTAGGAAGTGGTGGAGGCTTCTGAAATGGGCTGGGGGAAGGTGGGTCGAGCCCCAGAACGCCGCATTGTCACAGTGCTAGCACTCCAGAGTCCTAGCTGTAGGTGGAGAAGGGTCTGAGGCGGGAGGAAGCTTGCCGCTCTCGGGTCCAGGGGTCCGTGGGAGAGCGGATGGCGAGCGATTACAGCTGGAGCCGCGCCGGGCGGGGAGCGCCATAGTGGCGTCCTCACGCCCAGCCCGGCCGATGCGGCCGTGCTGCCCACTTGGAGGCCCGCGGGTCGGGCTCTTTGCTCTGACAGGCTGAAAGGCTGCGGAGGGCCCTTCGTCCCCGGGGTCATTCCGCGAGGCTTGAGGAAACATGAGACCGATTTTTAGTGCGGTGCTTGTGCCTTATTATGCGTACACATGCTTCAGCTAACCAAACCGACATGTCAAGGTATCTGCTCCTCGTCTGGGGGTTACATAAAAGGCTTTCTGGTGGTTCTCCGGTTTTCTAAAGCTCTTCTCCTC